CCTGAAAAAAAAAAAAAAAATTAAAAAAAAAAAAAAAAAAAAAAGTACAAGTTTACAAAAAATTACTAAAAAAACACTACGAAACGAAAATAAGACAAAAATTAAATCAATTCAGCAGTATTGGTCTCCAGATCTGATCATAATTGATGGCAAGGAATCGCATTTATATGTGCACGTTCGAGCGTGCGAGCGAGCTAAAATGTAGAGAGAGAGAGAGAGACGAGACCTGAGCAGCAGCGTTCAGATCACCGAAATTGATGGAAGTAATGTGCGTAAAAATTATATCTGAAGACTGCTTGATCCTTTTCTGAAAAGAAAAGAACGTTGGGAGCTGAAAAAAAAAGAAAAAAAAAATTCTTTTTGCGTAAAGGGTAAATTTATTTGTAAACGATAATTATGTTGTGAAAAAGAAAAGAAGAGAATAGATAGAAGTTAATATGCTTACGTGTATTTTATTAAGAATCAAAGTCTTGTATTTATATATAAAATTAGGGATATAATAGTAAATACATTTAGAGTCACAGGAGTAAAATTGTCATTTAACTCTAAATCCTAATAAACTTACATTTTACAACACTTCCCCTTAAAAAACCCATTACAAAATATCTGTCTCGTTAAAATCTTGTTTGAAAAAATTTCAATGGAATAAAAAAAATGAAACGAAGGAAAAAGAGTACAGTGATTTTGAAGTACTAAAAATAAATGATGTCTCATTAAAATCTTGTTAGTAAAATTTAATGGGATAAAATCTAAGCAAAGGAAAATAGTACAGTTACTTTCCCTGATATTGATCACTAAAGATTTTTGAGTAGACGCATTCCAATCTCATGAACTAATTTCTTAAATGTAGATATTGACAGTGCTTTTGTGAATAAATAAGCCACATTGTCACTTGAACGAATTTGTTGGATATCAAAGTCGCCATTCTTTTGAAGCTCGTATGTATGAAAGAATTTAGGAGAAATATGATTCGTCCTATCACCTTTGATATAACCTCCTCTGAGTTGTGCAATATAAGCTGCATTATTTGCATACAAAATTGTTGGTCTATCCTTTGTTGAAGTTAATCCGCATGATGCTTGATATGATGGGTTATGTTTCTCAACCATACATATTCTCAGTCTGCTTCGTAGATTGTAATAATTTCATAATGATTTGAAAATGCAACTGTCAAGGATTGCTTCACAGATCTCCATGGTATAATTGTTCCTCCACGTGTAAACACAACCTATTTGTAATTTAGCTTTATGTGGATCAGATAGATAACCTACATTTGCATATCCCACTAAAACAGATTTCGACTTTTGAGAATAAAATAATATCAATCAATAGTACCATTTAGGTGACGAAAAATATGTTTAACATCATTCCAATGTCTTTGAATTGGCGTGAAGTTATATCTTACAAGGAGATTTACAGAAAAAACTATGTCAAATAGAGTATAATTTGTAAGATAAGTTAATGCTCCAATTGCACTAAGATATGGTGCTTTAGAACCAAGAACATCTTCTCCATCTTCAAATGAACGAACAACCATAGGTGATGCCAATAGATGTGCATTATTTACATAAAAACGTTTTAAAACTTTTTTTATATACGTAGATTATTGAACAAATAATTCATTTGCAAAATGTTTAATCTGCAATCCGAGCCAAATTTTGGTTTTTCCCAAATCCTTCATCTTAAATTCATTTTTCAAGCAATCAGCAATTTTGTTGAGCTTTTCAGGAGTTCCAATTAAATTTAAATCATCAACATAAACTGTCATAATTGTAAATCCAATATCTATTTTCTTTATGAAAACATATAGACAGGCATCGTTAATATTATAACCCTCATTTAAAAAATATTTGCTAAAACGATTATACCACATGCGTCCGGATCGTTTTAATCCATATAATGATTTTCGCAATTTAATTGAGAACATAGTTCTCGGACATGTATCATTTGTTCCTGGTATTTTAAGTCATTCATATATAAGTCACTGTCAAGTGAACCATACAAATATGCAGTTACCACATTCATAAGGCGCATATCAAGTTTTTGTGATACAATTAAGCTAATTAAAAATCTAAAAATGATAGTGTCCATTACGGGAGAATATGTTGTCTCGTAATCAATTCTTGGTCTTTGTGAGAAATCTTGAGCTACTAGTTGGGTTTTGCAGCTTATAATTTCATTATTTTTATTCATCTTTCGTACAAAAATCCATTTATATCCAACATGGATTACATTTTCAAGGTGTTTGAACTACAGGTCCAAACACTTTTCGTTTCTTTAAGGAATTCAATCTCGCCTGTATGACTTCTTTCTATTTTGGCAAATCATTTTTATTTTGACAGTCTTTAACTAACTGTGGTTCAAGATTCTCATGTTGCATGATATCAAGAACCACATTAAAGACGAAAATATTGTGTATAACAACATTATTCTGTTTCCATAATTTATAAGATTACATATAATTTATTGAAATCTCATTATTCTCGGACACTTGTGATTTTTCAGGAACCATAATTTCAATATTTGATTGATCAATCTTTTCTAACATAACTTCTTCCAAAATTTTTAGTTGGTTTTTCTCTTGTACTTTTCCTTTTTGATGTACAGAGCATTTTGAACCAACTGGTCGATCCCGTTTCTGACATATTTGAGATTTATTTTCTATAGTAGACTGTCCTACATGGACATCGATTTTTGCTAGAATATATGACTTTGTCACTTTTCTTGTGTTAACAAATATATCGGGTAATTGACTTGTAACTCTTTGCAGATGAATGATTTTTTCAACCTCTTGCTCACATTGATTGTCTCGGGGATCAAAGTGAGATAGAGTTGTTTCATTCTAATTAATTTTACCTTTTTTTTAGGATGTAGTTTTTTCCTCCCAAATTGCCAAAATCATTTCATCAAAATGACAATTTGCAAAACGTGCAATAAATAAATCGCCCGTTAAAGGCTTGAGCTACTTAATAACTAATGGTGAATCAAAATCCACATAAATCCCAAGTCTTTGTTGAAGACCCATTTTAGTACGTTGTGGGGGTGAAATAGGAACTTGGATAGCACAACGAAAAATCCGTAGGTGAGAAATATCAGGTTCATAACCAAATGTCAGTTGTAAAGATGAATATTGATAATAGGCAGTTGGTCTAATACGAACCAATTATGCCACATATAATATGGTATGACCTCAAAGAAAAGTTGAGATTTTTGTTTTCATAAGTAATGGTCTAGCAATAAGTTGTAGGCTTTTAATAAACGATTCTGCCAAACCATTTTGTGTATGGACATGCGTAACTGAATGTTCAATTACAATCCCAATTGTCATACAGTAATCATCAAATGCTTGTAATCTAAATTCACTAACATTGTCAAGGCGAATAGTTTTAATTTAATAATCAAGAAATTGCGTTCGTAATTTTATAATTTGAGCAAGTACTCTAGTAAAGGCTACATTCCTAGTGAAAACTAGGCAAACATGTGACCATCTAGTAGAAGAATTAATCAACACCATAATATAACGAAATAGTCCACATGATGGGTGTACTGGCCTACATATATCTCATAAATTCTTTCCAAAAAAGTTGGAGACTCAATATTAACCTTTGTAGTCGAAGGTCTAATGACTAACTTGCTTTGCAAACAAGTTACACATGGATAATTATTTGGTAAAAGAATCTTCTGGGGATGTCCATGTGAATTATTTATTATTCGACGCACATTATAACTCTTAAATGTCTAAATCTAATCATGTTAAAGTATAAAAGTTTTTGGATCAACTAACTTCTGGTCTGTGACATTATTTGATTTAACTATTTTTATAAATATTTAATACATGTCAGATGAGAATGCATGAAAATTTTCTTTTATCTGTTTTTGACCAAATATAAAAGAAGTTATGCAAAGATACTCCACATTTTTTTTTTGCGTCGTCTCAATATGATATCCATTGTAACGGATATCTTTAAAACAAAGCAGATTTCTTCTGATTTTGCTAGAATAAAGTGCATCATCAATATATAATTTTGTATTATTTGGTAAAATAATACAAGATCTTCCGGAGCCTTCAACGATATTCGATGCACCTGATATTGTATTAACATTATTTTCTTCTAATGTTAAGTTTAAATAATATTTTTTGTCTCGAAGAATAGTATATATAGTTGCACTATCAATCAAACAGATGTCTTAATAATACATTATGAATCTATCAATTTAACAAAATAGATATATTTACAAAAAATTGAATTTAAATTCAAAATGATAACATAATTAATACTGTGAAATTAACGATGCATAATAAAATTCAAAATTTCTGCGAAAAGTAAAAACATATTTCAAACTAATTTTCTAAAATAAAGGGAAATACTAGAAATATAGAAAAACTAATATATATCTTCTATCACATCACCCCCATCAAATGGTCAATATTTTCATTTGGATCAGTAAAGAAATCAGAGACATTCAAATGAGTCACATAAATTAGACCATCATAATCAGCAAAATTTGTCTCAACTTTTCTTTTTCCCTTGATTGATTTTTAATAAAGATCCACAAGGTGTTTTGCCGTAAAATAGGTACGTGTCCAATGTCTTTTAATTCCACATCTAAAACAAATTTCTTTGCATACCTTTTTCAATGTGCTACTTTCATTTGCTTTGTGCCATTTGAAATTATTACCTTGTTGAAAACTTTGTTAATTATTTTGTCCATGGTTTATTTCGCGTGCATGTCCGCTTCCACTCCAAATTCTTGTCCACGTCCATGCCCATGTCCTTGTCTTGATAAAGCATTTGTTTCATGCAATAGAGTACCATTTGCTTTAGGCAATGGTACAGAACCAGTTGGACGTAACCTATAATTTTTCTTCAGCAGTTCATTATTCTGTTCAGTAACGAGCAGGCAAGATATCAGTTCTGAGTATTTTTTAAAACTACACTCACGATATTATTGCTACTGCAAGAGTACATTCAAGGCGTGAAAGATGAAAAAAGTTTTCTCCAAATCTTCATCAATAATTTTTTCTCCACACAATGTTAATTTTGAACATAATCTAAACAATTCAAAATTGTACTCACTAACAGTTTTGAAGTCTTGCAAACGAATGTGCATCCACTTATAGTGGATTTTGAGGAGGACTATAGTCCTTTTATGATCAAATCTTTCAGTTGATTTTTACAAAGAATTTGTGGATATTTTTTAGTGAGATATTCAATTTTTAGTTCATCGTGAAGATGATGGCGAAGGAAGATGAATGTTTTTGCAAGATCCTGCGGGAATTTTTTGTTTCCTTCTTTTATTGTCTCCCAAAATTTTGAGACAAGATGGATATCAGCATCAAGTACCCATGATAGATATTTTTTGCTAT